AGAACATCCACCGCGGCCTCTCGAATGCCTCCTCCGCCTATTCCATCACCGGCCACTCGGATATCTCAGATGATCTCCCCATTCCCGGCGTGGCGCCGGGCAACGCGCAGTATTACGACGACGCGACGTATTATGCCGCGGATGGGGGCCAGCATGGCGGGCCGTTTGTAGATAATCCGTATGGTGGCGGCCCGCCTGTCATTCGGGATGTGCAGGCGAGGCGGAATACCAGGATCGAGAATCCGTCTGTGTTTCCGCAGCAGGGGAATGCGGGAATATCGCAGAATTTTTAGTTTTTTTTTTTTTTTTTTTTTTTTTTCATTTACTCGATGTCGTGATTATTCTTCTGGGGGGGATGCTCTGTAATTTTTAGTTTTTATTTTTATTATTATATATTCCTCATTTATCTATTGCTCTATTGTTTTTTTTATAATGTCTGCTTCTGCCGCTTCCTCTAATACTCCCTGTTTTTTTTTTTTTTTTTTTTTTTTTTTTTTGTTTGCTGCCTTTCCAATTTCCACCGCCAATTTAGATGGAACCACATTTAATGGATTTGTCAAGTTTTCAAGTCTTGATTTTTTGTTTGTCCTGTTGACCTTTCTTTACCCCCTCATATCATATCATCCACACACATTCAACATTTATGCACTGCTCTCCTTATAATTACAGAGGTGCGAAATCCCTTCCGCCTGACCGACCAGAAAATTACAAGAGATAAAGGCAAGAAAGAAGAAAGATGATAAACCGAATGGATGGTTGCGGGTTCATGTCAATCCTCAAGTCTTCTCCTCGAGCCTCTGGTATCTATTCCATGGTTTGCTCATTGTCATTGACAGACCCTCTACTCTCGATTCTTGATCTTGCAATGGACGGATATCTCTCTTTCCCCCCCTTTTTCTCAAAGTTGTGTATATCCTTGTTCACGCTTTCTTTTACTATTCCCCTTGTCTGCACCTTGCATTATATATATATATACGCATGTCCATAGTCAGAAATCCATCTTTTGCCTACTTGACACACTCGCTGCTTTCATCGTGGCTGATCACCAAAAGTACTCCCTTTCGTTCCGACTTTGATGTCTCCCATCACTCTGTCGCTATCAATCCATCAACCATCCTCCTCCCATTTCTCTCTTAACCCTAATTCAAAACCATGCTCTCGATTCCTTTCCCCCCCCTCCCCCTCCCCTCTTCTTTTTTTTTCGAAATTCTGGTCAGGTATATATCGTATAGCGCAGTTTCAGTTTCACAGCTTAATACAATATAATATAACGCAACATACACCGTCCCTCACTCTGAAAAAGCCGAAAAGGCCCATCAGGAAAAATCTCACCCCATCCCACCCTCCCACCCTCTCTCGCATGCATTGCCGTACAAAGAGGAACTAATAACTAGATGGGGAACAACCGCAGCTGAGGGTGAAGCCAGGTAAGACCGCTTTACGTATCCTGCTGGCCCCGCATCGCCTAGCTAGCTAACCTGCACGAGAAGTACGAGAGAAATATATATATATATATGTATGTATGTATGTAGAGGAGAAGGTAGTGCCCCCGAAACAGGCGCGGTGCGGCGCGGCGCTTCTCCTAGGGAAAGAAAACATGAAGCCAGTCCTGCCATGGCGGTGTGCCCGGTGCAGGGTTGATTTCTAATATTTGGATGGGATGTCTTTTTGTTTATATTGCTCTAACATTAGTTAACTATAACTGTGAAGAAGGTAGCTAGGGTTGCTGGATGGTATATAGTGTATATATGTTGTTCACAGCAAGCTGGGCATGCAGGGAGGTAGATGGATAGATTTATCTTCTCTTCTCGGTTTGGTTATGTTTCCATGCAGCTTTTCATTCTGGGGTTATTTTTTAATTCTTTTTTTAAAAGTGTTAACAGTCCAGCGCCTGCTGTGCATAGGCAGAGAGAAGATGAGAACGTCAGCTACATGAGCTTATGTGATCATGTGGATGAAAGAGAATGCGAGGAAGCAATATAAAATATAAATAGATTTCATCCACATTACAAAGTTTTGCTCTTCCGTACTCAAAGGAACAGGAAAAGAGAAAGGTTATGAATAGATATGTAGATGTGTAAGCTTACAATAGATGATCACTCACACACACACACACACACACACACACACACACACACAACCAATCTACATGGACTAAAAGACCCAAAAAAAGAAAAGAATAACCACACCCAGCTCAAATTAGAAACCAACAGCAATTAAAATAGAAGAAAAAATAGAGAAAAATCTCAAAATAAACCACAAAACTAACATCTTCCTTTCATCTCCCACGTCGGCCGCAACCCAGACCTAATATCCTCCTTCGTCCCCACCGTCTCCGCCGGCAGCCGACTAAGCCTATACGCGCCCGTGCGTATATTATACGACACCGTCGGCGAGAGGCCACCGGTGCGGTTGCTGCGGATGCTGCCCGAGTCGCTGGCGGTGTCGCCTGCGTTTCGGAAACGGGCCGGCGGCGCGAAGTCGAGAGCGGTATAGGTGCCAGATTTGCGGAGGGCATGGCTAAAAAATTGATAGATAAGTGGTTTGTTTGGGCTTTATACATATATATACATGTATATAGAAGGAAAGGGTATCTTGTTTTATTTTTTATTTTTTATTTAGTTTAACTTATTATACGTACGGGCTAGGCATGGCAGCAAGATCATCATACGACGACGCAAGCGGCATATGCGCCGGAATCACACGCACGAACGGCCGCAGACCACCCAGCGGCGTCTCGGAGCGACCCTGCCTACGTTCCTTCGAATTGGGTGCCGGTGCAAAATCGATCGGCAGGACCATAGAGTTATCCTTGAGCTTGTGCGGGGTGGGCAGCTCGTGCAGAGGAGCTGGCGGCGCCGCGGGTTTGCGCCGCATTACGGGTGGCCGGTTGGATATGGACGAGAATGCGCGTGGGCCCGGGTCGCCGCCGGACACTGATGAGAAGGATCTGTGGGTCGGGCCAAAGCCGAAGGCGGAGGAGGCGCCGTGTTGACGCGGGGGGTACGGGTGGGGGTGGAAGTTGGGTGGCGGGGTCATGGCACGGCGTCCGATGAGTTGTGCGAACGGAGGTGGTCCTGGTGGGTAGAACTCGCCGTGATAGCTGCCATCGTACGGATCACTGGCATACGGGTTCAAAGCTGGGTCGTACACCCTGTCTTCGCGATAGTCCTCTGGACCATAGTCCTCGTAATATTCCCCATTCGGTGCGGGTTTGGTATCGTCAAAGTACTCCTTGTAAAAGGATCGGATGCGGCTGGCCCGTTGCTCTGGGTTGTCGGATGGGTCTTCTGGTGGCAGCGGGCGGATGCCAATAGTAAGACGACGGGTATCGAACTGGTACCCTTGGTCGTCTGGGAGACCATACATGGTAGATAAACGGTATTTGCGGTCTGCTGGCTGGGGTGTGCTTGATTCTGGTGCAGGTTCCACGTTCAGCTGGGGAAGAACGAAGGTGGACTTTCGTTGTTCATCTCCATAGTCACTTCGATCATCATCATCATATGATGGAAGAGAGATGCGAGGTGCTGCTTGGGCCTGCGACTGCGAGTTGGATGGTACCAAGTTATTGTCAGCTTCCGGGATAGCCATCGAAGGTGATGGAGGGGTACAGGAACTGTCTGTATTTAATGAATTACCAGTATGCTGTGGTACGACATGTGTAGGAGGCGATTGGCTACGATGCGGGTTCTTTGGAGTACTGCCCCGTTGGATACGAGCACCCAGGTAGTCGTTGCTTTCCCGGAGGTCGCTTGCACTTTTGTGATCGTGGGGAGGGAGACTGTTGCTTGGATTAGATGCGCGCGGCGGGGATGGAACGGCTGATCGACCAGAGACCGGTGTTGACTTGGGCGACTCCACTTGGCTCTGATTTGTAGTTGTCCTAACCAGGTGAAGGTGGTCTCCTTTCGGCGGCCCTGTCTCTAGCTGGGATAGAGGAGGCGGAGGGCTGGCCCTGGAGATGCGCTGAACATTTTTAAGGAGATTGACGTTCATGTCATCACCATGGCCACGTCGACTGCTCGCGCCAGTAAAGCTGGAAGAATCGTCTGTGCCATGGTTAAAGTTGTTGCGGAATGACCTTACGGAGCCGTTATCGGTTGGACTGAAAGCTGTCGCGGTGTGGTATTTGTCGTCATTGGTGTGTGATCTCGAGAGGGAGTGAAGCGATTCTCTTGAGCCGTGTAGGGTGGGTGGCAGAAGATACGGACTGGTCATGGTGATGTCCAATGACAGGCCGCGATTATTTCGACAGATGGACTTTTCAGCTTCAGAGGATGTCATTTTCATGCCACCCTTTCGATGCTTTGCGCCCTTTTTTCCGCTGGGGGGCACATCATCCAAGCCAAAATCCAGGGATTTGTGTTTATCGTTGGCGTCCTCATTCCGTAATTTCTTAATATGACGGCGATGCAGAAAGATGAGCACGATAATAGCAACGGTAAGAGGAATGCTATCAAAATCGTGATTAGCGAGAAGAAAATGTTTATTTATTTATATATTTATTTTATCTTTCTTTTAAAATAAAAAGAAAGAAGAAAATAAATGGATTGGGGTAGCATGGGCCAACATACACAGCACCTAGAACGATGGGGAGAGTGGTGCTGCTCGAGCTGACGGATCTCTCGCAAACTCCGGTGGTGTCGTTGGGCCCGCATGACTTTGCGCTTTGGGTAGAAGTGGTGGTGGTCGTGGGGGAATCGGCTCTTTTCAGCACTGCGGCAGGATGGACAGCAACAAAGGGGATGGCGGCCCTTCGATCAACGTGATTGTGACCATGCATAACTTGGATGTATCTCCCTCCCTCTCTCTCTCACAAAAGACGAAGTATAGCTACCAGTAGCTAGACAGTAGTAATACAGGCAGAATGGATAGTGATGATGATGATGATGATTGAAAAAGAGGAGTTCGCCGATGCGACGCAATTGCCTGAATGTCGATGCGCCGAAGTGCTTGTTATTGTGCTTATTAGTTACTTAGTGCTGCTTATCCCATAATCACCGCCAAGCCTCCAAGGGAAATGAGCCAGCCACGCGAAGACGAATAGCAATCGTGTCTGCCGACCAGCAGGATTTCGAGGAAAGGATGAGTCTTCAACGACGACAGCACAACAAACAGCAGGTGATTCGAAGGAAGGATAGCGCTATTAGAAGAATACGATATGATTAGGAGGCCTTTCAAAGGGTTTGGTGGCACGAGAGAAGCCACAGGAATGAGAACTGGGCGACGTAGTAAGGAGTGGAGGGCAGATCAAAGCCAAAGCCAAACAACGAAAAAAAAAAAGGAGTGGCAGCCCCCTCAGATGAGGAGAGGAACAGAATGAGAGACAAGAATGAAGAGAGTGTGTATGTGAGAGAGGGAGTGTGTGAGAGAGGGAGAGAGTGAGTGAGTGAGAAGAGGAGGAGGAGAAGAAGAAGAAGAAGAAGAAGAAGAAGAAGAGAAGAGGCAGAAGAAGAGAAGAGGAGATTTGAGGAGGTGAGGTCTGAATTGCCTGATTGGGCGATCAGCTGGGATGCCCCAAGCAACTACGAGCCTTGGCCACTTTGTACCATCACACCAATTTTGTGCGGGAGACTACCTTGTCAACTACTACTATTCCCTGACTCGTGAAAATACTGCCAATAAACAACAAAAGGTCATGAAACCCTACAGAGATAGAGGGAAGAATTGAGCTCACTATTTCTAAAAAGAAAGAAATAGTATCTGTGAATGAAGAAGTATATCTTTATAATGTACTTTACTTTATTCAATTACTAACTACTTCTTTGTATAAAAACTTGTATAATATCAGAAAATAATATTAAAATAGTTAAATTTTAAATTATTTAAAAATTATTATAAAACTTTATATAACGTAATCAACCACCCAACCCCTGTTTACACCCAACGCCCGCTCAAATCTTCATTTTTCATTCATCTTTAACCACCCACAACATGCACCACGAAGCAGTTATACAAGCCGCGATTGATGATTTGAACGCGCAATCAACGCCTAATTACACTGAGACCGCTAAAAAATATGTAATCAGCTGATATACATTGTCAAGGCGTTATAGAGGCGTTCAAATGTCAAGAAAGGAAGCAAGCTCTATCCACTGCAAAGCTCTCACTGATTCGCAAGAAAAACAGCTCCTTTTTCATATCAATTGATTGGCAGATCACGGTTTCCCTTGTACGCCCCAAATCCTTCATAATCTCATTGTTGAGATTCTAAAAGCACCTATTGGAGTCAACTGGGTGGCTCAGTTCTGCGATTGCCACAAGGATGTGATCAAGTCACTCTACCTGTGAAATATCGACCAAAAATGCAAGATTGCAGACAATTCTGCATACTTCAAGCAATATTTTGATCTTGTAATAGATTTCTTTCTTATACTGCTTTTTTAATTCTCATCTTGCTAATTTATCTTAATTTTTCAACTGCAGGCAAAAATCACAAAATACAACCTTGAACCTGCGAATATCTACAACTTTGATGAGAAAGGATTCCTATTAGGATTCATTCACACCCTCAAACGTATTGTATCGATTAATTCGCTCAAATCGGGCCGTATGATAGGTGCCAGCCAGGATGGCAGTCGAGAATTCATAACACTACTTGCCTCAATTTGCGCAGATGGAACTTCGCTCCCACCTGCTCTCATATATCAAGGGGAATCAAGAGATATGCAAGATACTTGGCTCGAAGATTTTGATAATGAAAAGGATCAGGCCTACTTCGCTGCTTCAGAAAATGGGTGGAGCAATGATGAATATGGGTTAACGTGGTTGAAGAAGATCTTTGAACCTCTTACAAAAAAGAAGGCAGGCCGCGGATATAGACTTCTTATATTGGATGGCCACTCATCCCATGTTAATATGGCATTCATCAATTACGCAGATTGGAATCGAATTCTACTTGCTGTCTTTCCTCCCCATTCTACACACTGATTACAGCCACTAGATGTTGGGATATTTGGACCATTGGGTAAATCATATTCCAAACAACTGAATGAACGAATGAGAACTGGAATGGGATTCATACGCACTACAAAGAGGTCTTTTTGGCAGCTTTTTGACACTGCGTGGAAGGAGGCAGTTACATCTTCAAATATTGTAGCTGCATTTGCTGCTACTGGCCTACATCCATTCGATCCGGAACGCGTTCTTAAAAAGCTTCAAATACGACCTTGCACCCCCCCCCCCCCCCCCCCCCGACGACGCAAGAAATCAACCAAGAACACCTACTTTTATTGTTGGGCTGGGGAAATTGGGGGAGCAAGGCAAGGAACAGCAGCCTCAAAAATCTAATGGTCTCAACTGGGGGATCCGGGCTGGGGAAATCTTGCTCTTGATAAAGAGGTTCCTTTAATAGAGAATCGGCAGCTTCAAAAAGCTCTTAATCAAGAGAGGAGACGTCGCAAGCGTGGCAGGGCAATGGGGTTGCTAGATCCCTTGAATCCATCATTGGCGCAGTTCTTCTCGCCGGCAAAGGTGCAGAGCATCCGCGAGAATTTGGCGGCCTCAGAGGTTGCCAAAAAGGATGAGCAAGCTCGTAAGGAGGATGCAAAGCTGCAACGCACTATTCTTAAGGAACAGAAGGAGGCATATATCATCCAGCAGAGGATGGAGCGGGAGGCAGCTCGCCAGGCCACAAAACAGCAAAAGGAAATGGATAAGGCCGCAAGAGCTGCTCAACAGCAGATTGACAAGGAGCTTAGAGATGAGAAAAAGGCTCAGGAGCAAAAAGAAAAGGAAGAACGAGCTGCCGTACGGCTACAATCACGATTGAATAAGAAGATGATTGAAGAATTCAAAAATCACCCTTCCTAATCGGGAAAGTAGACCCTCGATTTCGCAAAGAGTGGCTAAATCGCGTTTTCAGAGCCCTGCCAGGGTGCCCACGGATCCACTGCCGGAGGGATATGACGATATTGCAATCTCTACTGGTTTAATGACTGCTTGCTCACTGAATCTGCCTCCACCCAAGATTTCATGTTCTGGGCGAGTTATTAAGCCAAACAAATGTTTACTGAATTAGCTATATATTTTTATATGTAATTTTCTATATATATTTTCATCCTATAATATATCATCTTAAAATCTAATTGCGTTGTTGAAATAACGTTGAAAATATTTCATCATATTGATGGCGAAATGGCGGGCGTTGGGTGTAAACGGGCGTTGGGTGGTGGATTACGTTAATTAATAATAAAAGTTATAATTATACTATAATTAGAAAATTATTTAAAATATTTAATTATATATTAAATTTAAATCTATAAAAATTTTAAAATTAATTTAATAATTATTTAAATTGATTTTAATATTTACTTTTTAAGTTTTTTATTATTATTTAAAATTTAATTTAATAAAATATATATAATAATTAAAAAATTTTATTATTTATTTACTAAATAATAATATTAAAAATTTAAAAAATATTTTTTCTTTTTTATATATTTTTTATTTACTGTTTTTACAGCTTTAAATGTTCAGACAGTGAGTGAGCTGAAGATTTAAATGTTCAGAAATGTGAAACATTGAGTCAAAGTAGCAGTACATCTCAGATAAATTGAGTACTCAAATGACATCTATTGCTGATATTGATTAATTACAGAATGAGATGTTTAGAGATCTTTCTTCTTTGTGTGATGTCTTTGTTCTTCTTATTTGTTTGTTGTTTTAATCTTTTTGTGATTCTCAAGAAGTGAGTTAATGTTATCTGATCATCTGTACTGCAATTTATTCATCTCACAACTCTAGCAGCTATGTGTTTTGAGGTGAATATCCCAGAGCTGATCAACAAGTTTTGAAATTGCATTTTGATAGAGTTGGTCAAGGCAATCAACAGCGCCATCATAGGAGATTAGGCGCGACTCAAAAGATTCTTTCAGATTCCTGAAACACGCCTCATAAACGATCAACTGAATCGGTTAGAGGATGGTTCTTGACAATGTCGCGATCTCCCTGCGAAAGTTCCGCCATTTTAACGGCATCACAACAGCGCTATGGCAGAAGTGTGTCTCAGGGCAAAAGCTGTGTTACAACAACAAACAGCAGTGCAGCAGAAATGTCCCCAGAACAAAAGCTGGCTAAAGAAAAGTAGTGGCTGGTAAAAGAAAATCGAAAGGCAATAAAAGATCAAAAATGCAAAAGGGAAGAAATTCAAAAGCTCCGGAAACCAACGAGATGCACAAAATAGCCGCTGGGAGGAGAACCACCGGGTACGGCGCTAAATGCTACAAAGCCTGAAGCTCCCCCAAGGCAACTTTGGAGTGGGACCTATTAGTGAGAATTCTCCATCAGTCGCCCGTTTTGCGCACGATTGCCCTATTCCACGCATGTCGTGCAACGGGACGACCAAGACACGGGAAGAAAATATCTGACATGATGGCAGACTGATGAGGGAAAGCGGGTACAGGACGCACCATGGGCCCACGGTTTTGAGGAACGTGGCCATATGGCGTATTCAGCTCCAGGGCCTGAGACGGACTTACTTTTGGGCTTGCAAATTGTCATTGAAGACCAGCTGGGAGATGCTCTAAAACTGATTTTCAGTACATGTCAATCCAGCGCCAGCCAATTTTCTCGGGAACAGGGGATAATTCCCCTAATATTGACATCCGGCATGACGAGGCCATGATTATTTCCTCGAGAGCTTTCCTTATTCTTAATCATGGTTATGCCATGTTGTATTCTCAAGAACAGCCCACTCATGGCCATCTCTACTCTTGAGGAATATTACTGAACCTGGACGTCTTCACCTAGACCCTTCTTCTATTCTTTCAATCTTATCGGTCAAATAGAATAATTCCCTTTTATATAGAGGGTGTTATATCCATGTCAAGAAGTTATCCCGAGACCCTTTCTAGTTGAGGAGTGCCTGCGAAGGTGACCCTGGTGAAACAACGATCTATAAATCTCTACAGTTGATGTTAAGCTACCCATCAATCATGTAATAGATTTGATCAACAAGAAGAAGGATACGCTTGAAGAGAGGGATATATCACAGGGAGACCCCATCTTTCCTGGGCCGGCGAAGGGACTCTGATTTTGTGCAATTGCTGTGGAGAGCGGGTCTATTGCCGTGATTGAATTGCTGATCAAAAGAGGCGCTGATATGGATCTGCGAGATGTGGAGGGAACTGGGCCACTTTGGACTGGCTTGGAGAAAACCTATGATCATAATATGGTGGTGCGAGAGATCCAGATGTTTCTTTGAGCTCAAACAAAGTACAAGATTTGGTCGAAAAGTTCAACTCCTCCAATCAAGCAGCCAACGTTGAAGGCTCATTGCTCAAATCCACCAATATCTTTGACAACGTCACGCTTTGGCGTCCTTCGGGTTGGGCCATCAATATACCATTCCACAGTTTCAGAACAGCGTGGACAACGGCAAATAGTCGCCACACATCGTCCTTGAAAGGGCGTTAAGCTCGTAAATAAGCTACGGTGAGAGATTACCTGCGATAAACAACGGGAGTCGTACCCTACTTATCCTGGGATCCTTCCGGATATTTACTTGCATATTAACCAACGTCGCCAGAGCTTTTGAGTGCGGGCGGAGTTCTCTCGCCGAAGCCAAGCAAGCTGCAGGTATATCTAGCTAGTGTGCTCCAACGTTCCAGCGAGAGATTTTTTCAAAATCATTCTTCGCAGTTCATTTCAATCTACTAGCTCTTTACATCACCATATTTGGCACTACGCCGTCACAGTTTCTAACCACTCGTTATATGTGAGAGACGGCCCGTTGAGTTGGAATCGCAGCAGAATTTTAGTGTTTGCCAGTACATCAAGCGTCCTTCGAGCATTTCTTTGTCTCAGCAATTATGGATGACGTTACGGTTACACGGGTCCTCTCGTTCGAATGCTTATGCTGAAATTCCAGGCAGCACTTGAAAAAAATCCATCGGCTGTCCTGATATCGATTATCTCTGATTATTGTCAATGATAGCATCGAAAAGCTCGGTTTCACGAGCTTTCTTATGCAGCATAATCAATCTCACAACAGTCGAAAAGCTCAGCAATCAACTTAAGGACGAACCAGAAGTCGACTTGCTGGCTGTGTTCCAAAGAATTATGCTCGCAGTATTAGAACGGCGACTGCTACCCGTGCAGCGCCATCTACAGAGGACGCTGAAAAACAGAGTCCGCCTGAGTTCAGAAGACGCCTTGACCTCCCTGACTCTGCCACAGTTGTATATCCATTGTCTGAGACAGTTTCTGCCCTGCTTGCTAGCTATCTACACCCAGAAGGACCAGATAACAGAGAGCAAGCAATTGTTTCCTCACTCAAACAACTGCTTTGGCACTCGCCCAAGCACTGGGATATTTCCATCAGAGGCGTGGTCGTTGTGCGCAATGAGAGTGTTGTTGCCAAAGTGATTACAGGTGATATCAGTGACACTACGGAATGCACGACCACGCAAAACCTTGCAGAGCGCGCGCCTGACATCCCTGCCCCCAGAACCCACTGCTTAATCAGATTCGGACCCTTTCGCGTTATCTTTATGTCATATATTCCAGACATGACATTGGCACAGGTTTGGCCCAGTCTATCACACAAGGAGAAAGTCTCAATACAACAACAGCTAAATGATATCTTCTGCAGAATAAGGACCCTTCACAAGGACGATGGCAATGAACTTAGAGGTGTCAATGGGGAGGGCGTGAAAGAGTACCGTGTCGATGAATGTGCTCGCTGGAAAGGTATCTCCACAGTCAGAGGGTTTAGTGACCTACAATTCTCAGCATGCCACCACGGCAGCAAGATATATATCAAATTCCTCCGTTCTTTCCTTGCAGATAAGAGTGCTACCGTGCACGGATCTGTGTTTACTCATGGTGATGTAAGAAGGGAGAACATTACAGTGAAGCGGAATCCATTTCAACAACGCCTATGTGGTCACTGGTATTATCGACTGGGAGGATAGCGGCTGTTATCCCGAGTACTATGAATTCACCATCTTGACATGTATACTCTGAGCCTAGTAAAGGAGAATGACTGGTACCTTTAGCTTCCGGAGTGTATTTCACCTTTCCGATTTCCAGTGCGCCGTTGGCTTGTCCATATGGACTTTACAGGGAGAGGATGCAGCCTACAGCCTGCGCTCGTGGACAAGGGATGGAAATATATGGCGTCTGATCTAGCACATCTATTCGAGCGCCTCCAAAAGGCAAAAGGAAACTTCAGGTACGACCACCAGCAGATGCTAGTATCCTGGTCATTCCAAAGGCCAACAGACGTTGAAATCCAGAATGTCAGGAAATGGAACGTCAACATCTGGAAAGCTGTATTTAATCTCATTGACACATCGCACAAACGACCCCGCCGGCGAGTGTCCCCCCTCCCTTTGGCGGCACGCCAGTCAGAGCTGTTGGGCATGGTTGCCCGCGCAGCCGCCCCAACCGTATAGGTGTATTAGTTAGCTAGTGTCAACCAAAGGATGGCAACATGATATAAAGAAAATAAAAATAAAGTAATAAACTCTTATGTAAACTTTAAAGGAATTAAATAACTAGTTACATTGAAATAATATAAATAAATAACTTGATAAAAAATAATTAAAAAATAACAATAAATAATATATATATATATAAAGTATATAAACTCTATTTTTTTACTTAATATTGAAAAAATATATATATTTAACTTATTAATAAAATTTTTCTTTTCTTTTTTAATAAAATTATAGATATTATATTTATTTAATCTTATAAAATATTAAATTTTTATATTTAAGTTTTAAGTATATTATAAAAGAAAAATATTTTTATTTTATTTTATATTATATATATTATTTATTATTTTGAAAAATATTTTAAAAATTACATAATTATTATAAATTATATTTTTTAAACAAGTTTATAAATTAATAAAATAAATAAAATAAATATATTTTTTTAATATTGAAATAAAAAGAAAATTTTTGATTAATTTTATAAAAAAAATAAAAATTATTTTTAAATTATTTATTTATTTATTATTATTATTATTATTATTATTCTTTATTTAATATATATTTAATTATTAATTATAATACTTATATAATTAAAAAGTTATATCTTAAAAAAATAACTTAAAATAATATAATATTTAGAAAATTATCTTTAGAGAATAAATTTTAAGTTTAAATAATCTTAATATTTTGATATATAAT